GGGTCCCTCCCCGTCCACCCCGTCTCGCCCCCTTGAGCCAAGATGGCTAGGGGGGGGGTCACTTCCATGGCCCACCGAGCTCCAGGGCGACAAAGTCCAGGGGCAGCCCAGGGAACGAGGAGGAACAGGGGGAGGGGGACACCAATCATATGGAATCAGCACGAACAGGAGCAGGAATGGCGGGAATAGCTCAGGAGGTTGGGGCAAGGGGGGGCACTATGTTCTTTCGAGTAGCTGCCCCTCCCTCACATTTGCCTCCCCTCCACTCCTTCCCCTCTGTAGCGTCCCTCCCGTCCCCTCTCTGTGCTGGCCACCTCGTCGAAATCATCAGTACCGCCCGTGCCATCAGACGCGCCTCTCGGCGGAGAGCCCGGGGGAACTGAGCAAGTGGGCGGGCCTTCCCATGAAGGAGGCTCGGAAGTCCCCGGGCCTGCTGACAAGTTTTCTAGGCCTTCCCCGAGGGCACAGATAGATTCTCAGGAGGCGCGACGGCTCCTGAGAAGCCCCGCCGCCTTCTGAGAAGGCCTTCTCTTCGCTTCCCCCCTCCCTCTCTCGCCGCCGAGCCTCTGCCACCCATGCCCCGCAGCATACGTTGAACATGGCTAGACATTCACGTTGCAAGCCCAGCAAGTGGGCGGGCCTTCCCATGAAGGAGGCTCGGAAGTCCCCGGGCCTGCTGACAAGTTTTCTAGGCCTTCCCCGAGGGCACAGATAGATTCTCAGGAGGCGCGACGGCTCCTGAGAAGCCCCGCCGCCTTCTGAGAAGGCCTTCTCTTCGCTTCCCCCCTCCCTCTCTCGCCGCCGAGCCTCTGCCACCCATGCCCCGCAGCATACGTTGAACATGGCTAGACATTCACGTTGCAAGCCCACCGTCTGCTCCGCCTCCTCGTACCGATCCAACAACGATTCCAAAACTAAACTCATACTTCGACAATCTGGGACAATCCAGGACGTAGCGTAGTGGGCACCGGGGCCGTTCCGGATCGATCTGGAAATCTCTGAGCGGACTGGACTATGAAGCAAGCTGTCCGTATCCTGAAGCTGCCTGACCTCCCTATCCTCCTCCTCCTGCTTCTCCTCCGCCTCCTCTTCCATGGAGGGGGGGGCCGATGCGAAGCAGCGCAGCACGTCACGCCACGACGTGCTAGCATGAAGTAAGAGAAAAGACAGAGAGAGAGAGAGAGAAAGAGAGGGCGCGAGAGCTCACCACTCCGGCACAAAGAAGCAATGAATCACAACACCCCGATATAACAACGATTACCCCCCAAGAGTATTCCAATATGCTAATTTCGAAAAGCGATGAGAAACGCTGTCCTGGCCAGAGACGACGCCATGAACCTGTAACAGCATTGGGCGCCCCTCAATAGATGGCATTGCGGCCATACTTTGCTGCATGAGCCAAAATTTCCTTCTCGGCGTTCGCCCCGACGACTTTAATATTCAGTTCAAAATGGAGGAGAATGGTGTCGTTGTTGAGCACCTTCGTTACGGGGGTGTCCCTAATATTGAGTGATGATCTCTACCTTGCCAAGCCCCCAGCATTCTTCCAGTGATAGCGACGCCCACGAAATGAACCCAGCCTGCTGGACTGTGTCAGTTGGGCAAAATGTCTGCTGCAGCAGCAACTGCCGTGGATTCCTGCGACCTCGTGCGGCTATGCACCTCACTACGTTCCATCTGCATTGTTTGCACTCGAATAGGTGCCGGTTTTGAATAGGTATACGGTCGCTGGCGAGGGCCTCGTCTGGTGCGATGGTTTACGGGATGTATGTAGGAGGATAGTCAAGGTCGTTGCTATCCTGGCCCTCGGCAATTCAGAAAGCCGCATTGAGCTACCCTGTCACGACTGACGAAGCCACCCCAACGCTCCCGATGGCTCACGTGATAGCACCTGGGACGATGGAGTGCTTGACCCTGTGGCCCGAGTGATCTCGCCACCCTCGTGCAAATTGGTTTAGACAGCCCCGCTGATGCGCGCTCGCGGTGGGCGCTTATTTGCGTGGAGAAGAGGCTGACCTGACTGATTCTGGTGGTACAATGCCGTTCCCTTTTGGCGTCGTCTTGCCCTTGCCTACTCCATCAGAATCATACATCCTGCGCTGTCGTCAGTCGTCCATCATCCTACGCATATTAACTTGTTAGTCGTGGCGCATGTCCATGATGTGCGCCGGTATCGGATTGTCACTGTCTTCGACGTCCATGACATGGACCTGCACAATCTAGTAGGTTTCGGGGTCGGGATGGTGGCGCGGTGCACTTATATAATAAAAGCGGGTCTCCGACGCTGACGATCATCTAGTTGTGAGTACAGTCAGTGTGCTCCTAAATTTAGCGGTGGCGAGCTGATGGGTCTAGTGGTCGGTCTCCGTGCGCTTCCGCGTAGTGCTCACCATGCATCGGAGAGAGAAGGGGCGAGGGGGGGGCAATAACGTGTCATAATGCGTACGTGATGGAATGCTGTAAACGCTGGCGTATACATGTAGAAGCATACATCCGCCACCGTGCCGTGAGGCACGAGCTGGAGCGTCCTCGGCCATCCGTCCTGCGGAGTCCGTCAGGCGCCCGGAAACCTAACAAATTCGTAAACCTCCCAGGGCTTCTTGCGTGCCCCCCAGGCCCCGGCGCGTCGTGTCCCATGACTTGCTCGGACCCAGCAAGGGCCCCAAGACGGGCCAAGAGCGCCCCAAGAGGCCCCCGAGACGGCCCAAGAGGGTCCCGACTCGCAGAGCGATTGGTCCAAGACGCCCAAGATGGCCCGAAGACGGCTGAAGAAGCGCCCAAGGCACCCCAATAGAGTTCAAGAAGGCCTCCGAAGAGGGCCCCAATATATACAAATCGTCGAATTCCCTGGATGAAACGCACATGTTTAGCATGCCCGATTTTTCGACCTCGAGGCCTTCAAGACGGCCCAGGAAGCTCTCAAGATCGCCCCAAGGCAGCCCAACAGGCCGACGGGCCAAGTGGGCCCCAAGAGGGCCCAAGAGGCACCCACGACGGCCCGAGAGAGCCCCAAGATAGCCCCAAGTGGGGCCCAAGAGGGGGAGCCCGAACCGAAATTTCAAGTTTCCGCCCCAGGATACCCCAGGAGACTCCAAGAGGCCCCCGAGAGGCTCCCAACACGCCCTAGGAGGCTCGAACACGGCCCCCAAGAGGCCTCAAAACTGCCTTCAAGAGGCCCCGAGAGCCCTCCCACGACATCCCAATGAACATCCAAGAGGCCTGTGACTCAAAAAGCAAATAAAAACAATCGATGTGGCGGGATGGGCCGAGGGCCATCAAATATGGATGCTTGGCCCAATATACCATCATTAAGGCTTCCAGACTTGCATCGAACCGGATGCATAATCTTTGTACATACTTGAAGTTACAAGTAGCTGGCGACGCCTGCATCGCGAGTTGCCTGCATGCGTCGACCTATATACGTTCCTTGTCGGATGTCCGTATCACGTAGCCGTAGACTGCCATACGGCGGTTGCGGACCATCCAAGCTGTTGTGCGATCTGCGCTCGTGTTGCGGAATCCCCAACGAGCCCTTGCCGTCGCTCGGACGTCCATTTCCCGTGCATGTTTTGGTTTCGTGCGTGTTTTTTTATGCTCGATGGTCCAGGATGGTCCTCGATGGTTCTCGCCGAGAAACATGCACACGTCCGATCGATGCCAGGTGGTGCCGTGGGCTCTTAGGTCTGTCATTCGGCTGCCGGCTGCATGCGCTGCGAGGCTTGCGGCGCCTGCGGGGTAGTGCCTGCCGGAGGAACTGCTTCCAACAGTTCGGGCGGGGTCAGAGGCGGGCAGGCAGGCAGGCGCGCCGTGTGCGGCCGATAAGGCCGACCCGCGGGGGGCAAGGCGCAGGGGCCGCAGCCCTCATTTGCCGTTCCTGTGCACGAGCTCTGATTCAAAAGAACTCCAGTCCCCGGCGTACTTGTACCATATGTCTTGGATCCCTTTCAAGGGGGGGGTACTCGTACCGGCGGGGTCAGAGAGATAGGCATTCAGGCGTCCAGCCATGGTAATGATCAGGGACGTGCAGCGCGTGTCCCAAGGGGGCGGTGCTGGAGCGGAGCTGGACTGCGGCGGGAGCTTCCATCGCGGCGGCACGCCTGCGGCACGGCAACCGCGAGCGCTGGCGCTTTGTCCCTGCTGCCCTTCCGCGCCAAATGACAAATAATCAGATGGATACGATCGTATGAGCCTTTAGGGGTCTTGTTGGTATAAATTGTCTTCGGCTGGTGCTGTCGTGTGTTGCCGCGGAGGCGCCGATTCCAATCGCTGGTCGCTGCTGCAGTTGCGGTTCATTGTCGCCAGTTGGAGCTGGCAAGTCTCCATCTGTCTTTAGATGTCCTTTTCGGATTCCTGCGTTTTTATTGCCCCGACTATTAGAAGACACGCGTGCACGGCAGGTGCAAGTTCCTGGTTGGCGATAGGGCCCCGTGTTTGAGCTTGCCTCGAAGTGCGACTTCCTCTGAGAAAGGAACGCCCGCCCGCACTGACGCGGCCCCAATAGAAGTAGCTCAGGACCAGCCTTGTGGATGACAGGACAATGTACACTCTAACAGTTCGACCATTGGATTTGAACTGTGTCTGCAATACTTTAACCTGGGGGAAGCATGTTTCAAACATGTTTCCCGCATGATTGAATATGTTTTGATAAGTTTTAACCTTTGGGAATTACTTGACAACCTGCCTCCTCTCCACTGATCGTTCTCCACATGACCAGCCCAACACGGCCCCAACACAGCCACTAGGTAGCCCAAAACCCGCTGGGCGGCCTCAGCGCCCAAGACAACTCAAAGAGGGCCCGACAACCTCCCCTGACGGCCTCCAAGCCGTCCCCGCATGTCCCCAATACCTCCAGGAGGCCCTCACGGGGCCCCTGAGAGGTCCTCAATAATTCTAGTCGCTTCGCGTAACCCGACCAGTCTATCCAAAAACGATGCCCAGAGGAATTGCCTCGATCAGGGAAGTGGGCAGCGAACAAAAGAAGTGTCCCCCAGTCGAGGCCT